CCCTGATTTTTTTAGAATTAATAATTTAAATGAGTTACTAGAAATATTTATGAATTGTTGATGAATATGTGATGTTTTGTTGAGTATGATGCGTGATGTGATGTTATGTTGTGGGATAATAAAAATTTAGATGAGTAAGGAGTATTTTAGCAATTTAGATAATTAGTTAATAATTATTTAAAATTACTTAGAACTATTATTAATAGTAAAATAAAGAAATAATTGGTGTAGGGAAGATAAGGGAAAGGTGGTAATTGATGAAAGGCTAAGTGAGGAAAAATTAGGCAAAACATATTAGGGGTCCTAAGGTTAAACAACGAATAGAAGGAAAAGAATGTCATTTGGTACGATCGTGAAAACATTGGAAGAGCAAAGAAAAAGTTAGGGAACGAAGAACGTAGAGAAATTCGATAGATCACGAAGAGGAAATGTCAAGCTAGGAATTTAAGGTAAGAGGGGCGATCTTTCATTATGATTGATATGGGTTTAGAGGTATGTAGAGATTTATTGGGGTTTATGATGATTTTGATGATATGTTGCATTGTGATGGACTTGTCTTGAAATTGAAGAAAATACCATGTTAATTTGCCATGAATTTGTGTATATAGTGCCTATAAATTCGTGTGGTTGTTGTATGATGATTCTATGTTGAAAACTATAAAAATATGAATTGTCTTGGTATGAACTCGTAAGAAGATTTGGGATTGAACAGGTGCAGAATATCGCAACAGAAAGTTGTTGTCTGCTACGTGTTGTCGGACGAAGGTATGCATTATCGGGCGAGGAATTATCGGCTGGTCGTCGCCAGACGAGTAAATGGGCAAATGAATGGGTGGAAAAGTGGTGCTTCTAGATTTTTGTATGGAAAGGGTTGCCTCGCTCGCGCGTTACCAGGCGATGCAGAAGCGAAGGGTGTGTCATCGGGCAAGCAAGGTGCTTCGTTGAGCGATGGAGACCAGAGAAGATAGAAGGTGTTGTCGCTCCCACGTCGTCAGGCGAGCCTCATGCGAGCAGACTGCATCGTCAGAAGAGCACCAGGCATTGGACAACAGTAGGATTTTTTTAACTACCATTACTTGAGTTTTAGAACTCTATTTGAGGCTTCGTTCGAAGCGTTAGATAGCTAACGCGATGAACTACACGTGGATGGATAAAATGAGTAAGAAAATGTATATTTCCAGTACCTAGTCTAAGATAGACTTAAATCCTTAAGAGGTAGTCTACAATGATGCATGTTGCTATGATAAATTGTGTTTGATAAGATGATGATATGTTTTGACTTTGAAGTGTTGAATGATATTGATGCTAATATGTGATGTGTATTTATGCTATCTAAATATTGTCGATGAATTGGCAAATGGTGATGCACTTAACTAGATGTAGTCTTAAATAATTATGTTGATTGTGCATGATGCATTCATAGCATTGTTAGGATGAAAGTCCAGTGTTGATTTAGGACATAAGTCCAGTGTTGTTGAGGATGTTAGTCTAGTGTTATTGAGGAAGTTAGTCCAGTGTTGGCCTCAATCCCATTGTGTGGATCAGGTGCGTTTGATGTTGTGCTCTAGTTCCAAGAGGGAATTGATCCTATGGTGGGGATCTTTGGAGGGTGATGAGTCTAATACTTATAACGAATTGGTACCACAATGATGCAACCGATAGAAAATCATCGAGATAAAATTAATGAAGTTGCCATCGAGTATTTATTTATCCCACAGAACATAAAGGAAAATCATCGAAGAAAAACCTGAAGGGAGAAATCACGATCTTGCGATCGAGATATCAGGTACGGGAGTCGATTATGCAAGAAGAATGTATTAGCATCCCTTGTGTTCGTGGTGCCCCACGGGATCCACTCATGTTGTTATAATCAAAGGGTGTATTCAAATCTAAAGCTAACAAGCTAAGGGGAATCCATGAATGCAAAGTATATACAAAAAAAGTTTTTATAGTTGTGTCAGGCGCTGTTGCAAACCTTTAATGCCTACGTACCATCTTTTGTGTAGTAGGGGATCAGGGTACTCGTAGTTCTTCTAGAAAAGACTTGTTTGTTTGTTGATTTTAAATGAAGAGATAAGTCGTCATTTTTAATGAGAAGACTCGTCTAAACGCCCACAAAGTATGATAAAGAAAGAAGGACTATGCACCAACATGATGGAGGGTTTGAGAACGCCTCTATTACTCAAGTGGAGAAGTCGAAAATCATGGGGATAGAGAAATAACATCTCGATTAGAAATGAATCGTGACTAATCTTGGAAAAAGTTTTAAAGGTAAAAGGTGTTCGAGCACACAAAAAGATTTGAATGAGGTTGAATGTTTTTTAGTCTTTTTGAAAAGGTTAGAATATGCTTATGTGGTTTAGCATTTATTAAGAAAAATAGTTTTGTTTTAAATATGCAAAAGGGGAATGGAAAAGTCTAAGGGAGACAAATAATCCTAATGTTATCATGCAATGATGGTCCTATAGTTTGGATACAAAGGGGAAACATCTACCTAAGTTAGCATGCGTATATTACAACCTAATGTCCAACTTGAATCGAAAACAAAACAAGCAATCCTAAAGGGGCATGCAAAGGTCTAAAGAAAAACACAAACACAAGTGCAATAGAACAAATTTGATCCAAAACCAAAACAAAAATTATGTGTGAGCTAGCAACAAACAATGAATCCAATGAATTTCAAAGTGGGAGTAAGGAACTCTTTCCACTTGGTTTGCTCAAACACTGATATCGATAAATAACTCGGAGCGTTAACGTTTAAAGAAACGTGAGCTAACATCGTCAAAACGAATGACAAAAAGTGGGGGTTGGTTATGAATCATTTTCCACTTTATTCGACTCAATGGACAAGAATAAACACGGTTCAAAGCATCAACATATAACGCGAACTAAGAACAACACAGACTAGAAAGTGTGGGGGCCGATTGTGAGATCTTTTCTCCACTTATTGACTCGACAGCAAGCATAAAGTAAAGGGGGGGGGGGGGGGGGGGGGGGATTGCCTTTTTTGGGGATTTTAGCAAAATTGTCTCTTTTGAGGTCTTTAAACAAACACAAACATTTGAACAAATACAAACAATGCCTCCTTTGAGGACTTTAAACAAAATTGTCCACCTAAAGTAGAGACCCTCAGGCATGCATCTCTATTCCTACTTCTCATGACAAGGAAATCGAAAAGACAATGCGGAATATAAACAAGATTAGCACAATACCAAACAAACAAAAAGTTTGTAGCAAAGCGATATCAAAACAAAAGAAATCCGAAGATCTTCCGAAAAACTTCACCAACAAAGAAAAGAGTCAGAAATCAAATGCTGAGAATAAGCGTCGAAGCATCAGAAATATGAAAATAAATCACAAGTCAGAAAATCGCACCAGGTAGGCTCAAAATGTCGAATAAGAATCTCTGTCAGATAAAATACATAGATAGAACAGACAAACAGGATAGCAGAGAAATAATTTGAACATCTCCAAGTGAATTAGAAACATGTATCAAAGCTAAAATGAAACAAATGAAATATGGAAATGGATGCTTAATAATTAACTTAAAAGTTGATTAAGTTAATTAATTAAGATAAAAAATGAATTAGCCGAAACTAATTAAATTTTAATAACAAAATTAAATAACAAAATCGACTCTTAGTTAATTAACTAAGGCAACAAAGTAACTTGAAATCAAAGTTTAATCGATTAATCAAGAGTTGATTAACGTAATTAATCAAGTTAAGAAAAATAGATTGGTAAGCTAATCCATTTTTAATAACAAAATTAAATAAATAAATCAACGCTAGTTTAATCAATTATACACGGATATAAGGTGCAAAGAGAAAGTGTCATCTTGATAACTTGCACAAATCAACAAACAGGTTAGTAATCTCAAGAGAATGAAAACAAAATGAAACTTAAATCGAATGCATGAATAAATGAACATTTCTCGAGAAAATATCAGCATGGTATCATTATGTTAAACATGTTCAAATTCAAGTAAACTCACAAACTAACACGGTTTTTAAACCACACGTGAAACAAGAGGCGAGAATTTACATTGCAACATGAGAAAACGAGTTCAAAATAGACCTTAAACCCCTAAATCAAAATCCGGGAAGAAACTTCTTAAATCTAATCATGCTCATTAAAATCAACTCAAACAAGTTTAGCACAAACGGAACCAATAAAATAATGCCAACCGAATTACCTCTTGAATTCAAATCGAATCATTCAACAAACATCAACCAAACCTCCTTCAAAAATTGATTCAAATCAACATACCACATCTTTAAATCTCACTTGAAATGCAAACCAACAATATCAAGAATGCGATCATTGGTTCTGATTAGTTTTAACATGGTATTGCAAACCAAAACTAAATCACATTTTAGCATATATAAATTACAAACCATCGAAGTTTCGACGAAACATGAGTTACCACAATATGAAACAAATGTCAGCATCAAATTTCATATCGTTCACGACTTCACCTGGATAACAGAAAAACTAGTAATGATTCAATGTTTCACAATGGCATAAATTAACGCAATGAAGAAGAATTTTCACAGGTTTTCACATGGTTCCTTTTCTAAAACAGATCAAACTTAACATTATTAACACAGACAGCACATTTCAAGATTTCAACACAGATTCAACCAACTAAATCAAATGTATATTCAAATGATTTAAACCAAATATGAAAACGAAACTCTATGCTCATGCCATAAGTATGAAACTGAATCACATCATAACAGTTAGAAACTGAATTATTTTCACAGATTCCAGTATAGAATTCACGCACTAGCTACTGTTAGCCGCTTCTTCATCAAAAAATACCATGTGTTTCATGGTATAAATCAAAGGATATTAACAACATCAAAATTGTTTTAGAGATCAGAATCAATTCATGACTCAAAATAACAACATCCCTAATGATTCAATGTGACAAAAGTGAGAAGTCTGTGCCGGAAGCTTCGGAGATGAGGGTGTATCGTGTGGATTAGTGATGAAGGATGTTTCAGTTGTTGTTGATGAGAGCGATAGAAGGAGAGTACCGTGATGAAGATGAAGATGATATCACGAAGGTGAAGAAGAACGTTAATGATTTTTTTCTTTCTATTATGATACTTTGGATCTCCCCCCTTTTGGCTCGATACCAGCCCTTTTTCTTATAACCAAACAAATCTTATCCCTTTTAGGTATAGTTCAAAGACCACAATGGCCTCTTCTTGTAGATACTAGCTTTTAAATGAAAATGAAATCTAAATTTTAAATTTTAAATATAAAATGAAAAATGAAAAATATTTTAATATACAAAATTAAATTAAATTCTTAAATAAAAAGATAAACACAGTTCTTTTTATAGTTTTAAATTAAATGAAACAAAATAAAATAAAATAAACTGATAAACTTCAGCATAAAAATGAGAATATGCGCAAACTATAATGATGCGAATGAAAAATTAATTTGAATATAAATAATGTGAATGATAAAAAATTCAGGGTAAAATTTGGGGTACAACATACATGTATGAGTCTATGTTATTGCACTATATTTTATGTGGCATTTTATAATTATTGTTTAGATGATGTTGTATACGATGTTGTGCTAATTGACTGATTTTGATGATGATTACTGATTTTGATGCCATGATATTGATGTTAAACTACTATGTCTATTCTGTATATCTTTTGTAATGAATGTGATTACTCACCTTTTCTGTTTGAATGCTGCATCCATGTAGGTAACACGCAGGTGATCAGGAGTAGTTTGTAGGAGCTTAGAAGATAGCTCAAAATATGTTGTTTTTTTCTGTTGGTTTTTAGAAGGTCTTGCTCTGATATGTAATGCGCATGTGATAAGTTGTTTTGAATTAGAAATCATGAACAACGAAGTTTCTATGATGTGTTTAATAAATACGTTTTGAACAATGAATTTCGCTGTGAGTAGTTGAACATTATGGTTATTATTTAATGAGGTATTTGTTATAAATGATTTTGAAAACTCGTGTTACGGAGTAAGACATGCATGTATGATGTATTATGAAGCATGTGACGTCCTTTTGGTGAGACACTCTTATTATTCATTTATGTTATTTTTGGGGTTTTATAAGGGTGTTACATAGGGAAATTGTCATATTTATGCTGACTTAATAGGAACAGGAGACCTCGAGTAGTGGCTTATGAATTAACATACTATTGTATCACCTAGTCTTGCTTACGTTGATGGACTAGGGATATGAAACTCCGAGTATAGATTAGTGAACTATACACCAGGGGATTGAGTATAATGGATTTTTTTTAATTTACCGTGGAATTATAACAACAATATCATTTATGTAATACATCAAACTTCAATAGGAACAAAATAGGGGATTCAATATAAAACCTAACCGCCTTCGTACTATTGACAAAACAACTTTTATTTTATTTTTTCACTTAAAACTCGAAACCCCCAACCCATTTATTGTTTTCTAAATATTGCACAATAATTGTCTTGTTAAATAGCAGTCTTTGTGGATACGATTTTTTTATTACTTCAACATTATTGGTACAGTTGCAGATAAGTAATCAAGTTTTTGGTGTCGTTACTGAGGACTGAATTATAATTTCAACAAGGCAATGCTTGTGCAACATTTTTGTTTACTTTTAATTTTCTTGTTTTTTATTTTTGTTATGCACTACTGTTGAGGTATTTTGTTTGTGCATGCACAGTTCAGGATCAAAATTGCTACCACTTAATCTAAAAATCGAGAGAACCGCACGAGTAAATCATAAGGCTGCTAGAGAAGCTACTCTGGCACAGCAAGTAGAAGTGGAAAATTTGAGTATTTTTTTCTGAAAGTGAACCAGATGAAGAATTAATCATGGCAGACATACCAACACCCAAACGATAGGGGATTACTGCAACAGAACCAACACATGCCAAATCTCTAGAGGTTTTATACTCGCTGACCCTGCTAATTTTGATATAAAATTATACTCTTTTAGGTTTACGTGGAAATCCCTTTGATGGGAATGCAATTTGAGATCCGTGGGAGTACCTTGCTCACTTCCATGAAATAGCCTCGATGTGTAGACCAACTGGGGTCAGTGAAGATCGAGTATAGTTGAGGTTTTTTATATTCTCGTTGATTGGAAGGGCAAAGGATTGGTTGATATGCCTTCTTAATGGTACTATTGGGACGTGGATAGAGCTAGAAGACAAGTTCCTTGTGTAACACGGTGGGAGAACTGACTTCGGATGTTTTACGTTTGATCGTAAATGTTACAGATAGCAAGAGTCGCCACCGACTTTTCTTTTATCCAAAAGGAAAGGCTGAAAAGAACAGGAAAGACCTTTAGAGATGTTTTCTTGTGTTCGGGGGGCAGGTTATGAAAAGAGAAGGTATTAGCACCCTTTTCATCCATAGTTATCTATGGGCTCTTAGTTGCTTGCTAGATCACTTGCTTTTGTTTGAAAATGTGCTTGTGGTGTGGGTTTTGAAAGTATTTTGAAAACGTCTTTGTAATGGCTCTCGTTTCTATAAGAACGCGTACAAAGTATTTGTCTTTTGAAAATGTTTCAAAGAGGGGGTGTTGGTGTATAAAATGTTTTCTTGTTGTGAGCAAGCGAGCAACTAGGAGTAACCTACCTACTCAAAAAGTATTAAACGTTTTTTCCTCCTCCTTTAAATGTTGTTATCTTACCATTGATTTGGTAAGAAGCCTCATCGTTAGATGTGAATGGGTGGATGCGGGACGTTTGTATAATCATAGAAGGCAACCTATGGAACGTTTTAACAATGTCTTTTGGGGACTAGATCGTTTATCAAAGGCAACATTAGGGGTCATCGAGGGACTACGATCTTTTATCGAGGGTCTTTGTTGAACGCCCATATTCGAGGGGCATGACTATTTTTCGAAAGGCAACAAAGTGAGATTACCCTAGAGGTGCTAGTGTGCAAGTGTGTTTTATTTACATGCATTTAGCCTTTGATTATGGTTATCTATTTATTTATTTTATCTTGCCATACATCCTAATTACTAACAATATATGAAAGCAAATAAAATGCAGAAAAATAAATCCTAAGCTATTACATCATTTCGGGGATGAGGGTACATATTTACAAATAGAGATTTACAAGAATTTAAATCCTAATTATCTATTACAACCATATTGAATTGTACAATACGAGAAAAGGAAAGGATTTGTTTTTGAAAATGTTTTTTTGTCTTAACAAATTAAAAGGAAAATAATTAGTTAATAAAAGAAAATATTTTTTATGCCTTTTTTATATTAATAAAAATAAAATTAATGCTGAAAATAATAAGAATAAGAAAGAAAAGGAAAAAACAATGAAAACAGGATCAACACGTTGCTGAAAACAAAATGAAAGGGACCAGAAGTTCTGATGTTATGCGTGTTGTAGTTCAGAAAGAAACGTTAGAGGGGGCCAGAAGTTCTGGGTTGCTGCACGCTGAAGTTCTGAAATAAACATTAGAGGAAACCAGAAGTTCTATGTTGTGTTATAATCAGTGAGGAGAACCTAGAAGTTCATGTGTTGTGTTAAAACAGTAAGAAAACCTAGAAGTTTTGTGCGTGTTAAAATAGTAAGAAAACCTAGAAGTTTTGTGTGTACTGAAACAGTGAGAAAAAATCTAGAAGTTCTGATGTTGTGCTAAAACAGTGAGAAAAAATCTAGAAGTTCTGATGTTGTGCTAAAACACTGAGAAAAAATTTAGAAGTTGTGATATTGTGCTAACAGTGAGAAAAAATCTAGAAGTTCTGATGTTGTGCTAAAACAGTGAGAAAAAATCTAGAAGTTCTAATACTATGTTAAAACAGTGGGAAAGAAAACTCAGAAGTTTTGTGTTACACTTCACCTCCTTACTTACATTAGTCAGAGAATCTGCAACTTATTCAGTTCTTAACAACAGCAAAACAGGAAAGTAAAAACACGACAGTTTGTAGAAGTTCTAATCCTAATTATGAGCCTAGTTTTCTTCAAGAAGTTCTGATCCACAGTTTTTCTACTTAGGTAATGATATGTGCAGTCTCAAAAATATAATATATACATATTTAATGATGTTTTGAATGAAAAGTTCAAAGTCAGAATGACTTACCTTGAATCTGAAGCGTGTGTTTGGGACCTGAGCTGCTGCCTTTGAATGTTCTGGGGTCAGCAAGAAACGAAACAGAAAATGTTATGTTCTTTGATTCAAAGGGAAGAATAAAAATATTGTTTTGAGAATTCTGGGTTTTGAGAATGTTTGAATATTTTCTTTTCTCTCTTTTTTGTATTTGATCACTCTCCCTTTTTCAAAGCCAGACCCTTGAACGTGTGATGGAACAACTTATTTATAGATGAGTTTAATGTGGTTTTGGGGGGGAAAACAAATGGGATTTGAACCCTTTTTGGCATACTGTTTCATTGCTTTTTAAGCATAGCTTTTATGTGCTAATTTGGTGCAAATATGGGGTTTGAGAAAGTGCAGGCGTGGACTAGATCAACAGCAATTTGGAGTCTTGTGGCAACTGGTTGCAGGACTGTGTCATAGCAGTGCAACAGACTGTTCAAACGAGGTCTTGGGGCTTGGTGATGTTCTGATCGAAGAAAACCAGAATGAGATTCGAAGGGTGATGTTCTGATCGAAGCGTAGAACATAGTCTCCATATGTTGAAGAGTCATGTTTTGATCTAAGAACATAGTTTCCATATGTTCTTATTGAAGAGTTAAGTTCTGAACCGTCTTTGCAAATTCTGATTGCGCTTGCTTGAAATCTAGCCCAAAAGTACTAAAACTGTCATATTTTCTTAACACTTAGAAAATTTTCCAAGTAGTTAGAAATTTGAAATTTTCAAAGTAATTTCTGACTTTTTTCTTGATGAACCAATTTCTTGTCCTTATGAAATATGATTGTTGAAACTTGATTTTGACCCAAAAGCCAAAGTTTGACTTTTTAGTGTGCTTTTGACCATATTACCCTTGTGCAGGACTTTCTTAGAAAAGTGTAATCTGAGACTTGAAACTTGACAGAAGCAAAAATAAGAGGGCAAATTTTAGGGTACAATAGCTGCCCCTGTTCAATCTTTTTAAATCTGAAGAGTTAGATTGGCGAATCTGCCATTCGTGGCTTGAAGGTGGAAGATGATTGAACACTAGAGTGCCCAGAAATTTGCACTTGATGATATT